GCCTGGAAGCGTGGAAACGGCAGGTAAGTGCAATGCAAGTGCCCTTGCTAATAGATCTGTACGAATTGAATTAACCATTCTCTTCGTTTGGCTTGGACATTACCCCGATATAACTGAAGGTGCCTCGTCCTCGCAGGTGGTGCGGCGGTGGGAGGAGCGTCGGGAGGTGCAGATGACCCTCTTCACCGAGGAGCTCGAGTGCCTTGAGAGGTCGGAAAAGCAGTATCAGGTGAGGCATTGCCTGAGAACCAGGCGTTCTCTGGATTACAAGGTATTAATTTCCTCAATCGGATAATATTAATGGAGTATGAGGCTTCAGTCCATAATGGCATCTTTAGGAAGAGGCCATTATGGACAAGGAGTAAATGAGTCATGGCAGTCAGTACATAATTTAGATATAGCATAAGGTTTACTAACAACATATTTATAGTTACCTTTAAGGGAAAAGATGAGTATAGTATAGCCAAATAGATAAATTTACAGCGAGGTTATGAATAAGTTGGTATGGAATAATCTGTACTATCATGGAATACAAATCAAATACTGCATTTGGTGAACCTTTCTTCCCTACCGACTTCCCCTCTCCAGGGCTACGGGCAAACGTAAGTAGACTGAAGAGTTGATTTAGCATGTTAAATCGAAAGTGTCTAACTCCCCGTTCTCTTTTTTCCAGGTCCTGATCGAAACATTGCTTGCCAGCAGAAATTCCTAGAACATTTGTATATTTGTAATTATCGAAGTAACACAAATGCACTGGCATCTACTACGTCACTATCAATCGTGTAATAGCAATACCGTGAACCAGTAACTTATTTTGTGCACTATTCTGACATTTGCTACCCTCAAAAATGAAAAGGAACTGTCCACAAAATACGGCTGTAAAAGACACACAGAGTTTTAATAACATTTCATCCTGTCGCTGCATCTGCAATTCGGCATCACTACTGGTCCTGGGCCATCATATTGATTTTGGACCAAGAAACCCAATAACGGTCATTTTAGTGGTTCGCCAAAGGGTCATAATTTCTGAAGACCTTAGTGAACCCATGCACACACATTTACATTTCACAAATGCCAAACAATCAGGTTTCCTCAAACCTAGACCATTGTCCATACACTAAATCGACAATGGGCGAGAACGTATTGATACTTATCAATCTTATCGAGGACATGGCATGGCTGGTAGCGTGTAATACGCAGGGTTGAAGGGGCGGTAACTTCAACTTTTCCACTTACCTCAACTTTCCAATTGGCATAATCTCCTACTTGGTTGGAACTAGAAGTGGGAAGCATGTATCATTCGGAATTGGCGAAGCGGGCATGGTTAGAGTATAGTCAGATAAGAATAGAATATTCAGTTACACAAAATGATTTTTATTATATATTTCAATGAATGAATTTTAAATAGATATTGTATTTAAATCCTTTTTAAAATTCATTTGAGAGTATCCGCGATGTCATCAGGCGTGCATCTTCTAAGTTCCTCAGATAGCGACTTGAGGAAAAATATATAATTTTAGTGTAATAACTAGATAAAGGCTGATATTTAGCACAAATGTAGAGATGTGTGACCTGAACAGCATATAAAAAGCCTCAAGGCCTTTCGCACTTTCGTCAGCCGCCACATTGGAAGATAATCGCCCTGCTGGAATTCTCTTAAAATTGAAGTATCTCGTAAAATAGGTTATATTAAAAAACTCTCAACAACAGCCATGCAAAAGGATTGCTTTTAGCACTGTTATTTCATAAAATCAAGTGAATATATATGAAAAAGATGGAAACAGACAATTTTAACAGAACTAGTGGCCTGTATGACAAAGTGCATCGAAACAAAAGTAGAGATAGCATTCTTATTTATATGTATGTATGTATGTATATATATATATATATATATATATATATATATATATATATATATATATATATATATATATATGTATTATATATATATATATATATATATATATATATATATATATATATATATATATGTATATGTATGTATGTATATGTGTTGTGTGTGTGTGTGTGTGTATATATATATATACATATATATATATATATATATATATATATACATATATATTTATATTTATATTTATATACACACACAAGTTTATGCATATTTTGAAAAGTAAGCAAGTTATTAGGGGAAATAGACAGAAAGCCAACATGGCATATTTTCACACATACAAAATATTCTTATTATTAGATTAAAAGATATCCAGAACTTGGAAACACTAGATTGTTGAACAATAGTCCCTTTAGAAAGATAATTATGGTTTTATGTTAGTTCAATTGAATGGAAGGATCTCGTACAACCACACACACACATATATATACAGTCATATATAAATGTACTTATTTTTAAAAAATCAGGATGCCAGAAAAAGCATTAGCTTTACATGAATAAACTCTGACAAATATCTTATGAACAAATTTATACTACATATTCTGTTGTACTTACAGCAGAAACTTCAAAGGGAGAGTCTTTTAGTTCATATGAGCGATAAAATATCATTTGCTTATCAATATAAAAATAAACAAACACAAGAAAGAAGGCAACGGATTATCCTCCACCTTCTCCGGTGTCCCCGAAGCCTGCCACATTATATCTTACCGGGCGACTAAGAAGCTAAGAGTTGGTCAGTATCTCTTTATCTGTTAATGAAGATATGTGAAGTGGCAAAACCCCATCCACAGACATCCTGCAATCCCTGGAAAGGCTGCGGTGGAGATAGTGGCAGCCATGCAGGAGTTCCCATTGGAAATTTTGTCGACACATTTTTCTCGTGAACGTCTGGGCTCATCTAATACCGCATGCAGACGCCATCAAGAGGATACTAAAGTGAGTGAAGCAACATACAGGTGATCTTCGGCCATTTCGGACAAGGTTAAGTGGAAAGGTCGTCCTTCGATATGGAGCTGCATACTCTGATCTGAAATTTCTTGCAGAGTATCGTCAATGGTTTGGTGATGGAACGTTTACAGTGGCCCCTGGCTACAAGCAACAGTACACACTCCATGCATACTTTGGTGGCATAACCTATCCTTGCGTCTGTGCATTCAGTCCAGTGACTGAATTTTGAGAAGGTAGCAATGAAAGCCATCTAGAGGAATTTTCCGAATGCAGAGATTGCTAGAGACGCATCCAGAGCCTTGGCTTTGCAGGACGCAGATGCTGCCTTTGCCCTCCAGGCAAGAGATTCCTGGCTATGGCATTTATTCCGCAGGATGACGTCCACCATTACATTAGGATTTTGCTGGTGGATGAAATATTCTAGGATGATGGCCTTCTGGAGTTTGCAAAATACTTTTAAGAAACCAATGTTGACCAACTGATTCATGGTGATGTGGAAATTCCAGGGAAGTTTTCCTACCAGACTTAGAACATGTATCAGCGAGTGAAAGATGATCTGCTGGAAACAAATAATATGTTGGGAGGATGGCACAATGGCTTTATCAGGATGCTGCCGTGTACAAGACCTCGCAATACTCTATCCTAATGTATGTTTACAGTTATGGAGCAAATGAAATGCACTCTAATTACCTCAGTATATAGTATCACATTCACATGTATACTATATGGACATGTATATATTACAGAATATTGCACAATTTTATTGTAACAGATAACACGCAAGACACTTTCACACTTCACAGCAGTTAAAGCTAGAGTCGCACTAGTCTTCTCTGTCTTGGGATCCCTAGACAGCCTCGCCGAAGTCAGTTCAGTTGACCAATCAAAAGCTCTAGCTGGCCAGACTTCGATGAGGCTGTCTAGGGATCTCAGGACGAAGATGACTAGTGTGACCTTAGCTTAACAGACAGACGCCCAAGTAAAGCCAGCGTCCATTGACCCTCGAGCGGTGCTGACCCAGCATGCTAAAATATCACTGTATCTACTGCATCTAGCACACTAAAATATCACTTCAAAATTGCAGCCAGGTCGCATCATAGTATGTCCATTCTAAGAAATTTCTTTCCTCTGCATTTTCAACAACTTTGAATTACATTTCAATGCCTTTGTCATGCAATATCTGAATACTTCTTTTTAACACCATTGACAATTCATTCACTTGGGTTGAAATGTTCTCCATTTGTTTTGGCACAGTTAAGATAAATAAGATCAGGTTGCAACATTATGCTACTTTCGTCCATGACCTCAGAAAATCGACCAAAAATATTCCCATAAATTAAGAGAGTATGCGCACTGCAATCCTGTTTTAAAGTGTTTGATGTTTTCTACAATATGCAAACTCTCCTCACCAATCCTCTCTCAAGTCTTCTGTACTAATTTTTCAAGACCTACACATCTTTCACGATTGATTTTGTATATACAACTTTTTCAAAAACTTGAATGTTCTTGGATATGTTGTTGATCATGTTATATAGGTCCAGATATTGTCCTTGAAACAGATGCTTCAGTATGACCAATCTGTTGAAATTGTTTCACATTAATGAATTTACACAGGGTTTGTTTTCTAAAAAGTAGAAAAGGAAGAAAGATAGGGGTGTCTGTTATTTGTTGATTAGTGTTAGGCTATATCATTCTCTAATTGCTCCTCACTACATATTTTTTAACATGCATCAACTGTTATTTATCTCATCTCGCCCTCGTGAAATATTTTATGATAACCCTCAATATGCACTCGGTTTCTTGTTGGCTTACGAAATACACGCTGTCTCATCCACATTAATGCCAGCATTTACACTAGGGTTTTCATTAATACTAGTTGTTGCATCCAAGGGAACAGTGTTGGATGGACTCGCACTTCATGAACGTCCTGTTTCACTCTGTGTGGAATGTTCGCCATGATTCTGTTAGTTTCTGCAATATTAGACATTTCAGACATTAGACATTAGCATCATTACTGGCTAAGCAACATAACGTGTATGTTGATGCTGAGCTCGAGATGCACCTTGATTATTTTCTTAGACCCAAGGTCAAAGAGAATAATCTAAACTTGCTGGTAGATCTTGAAAGTTGCTGCAATTCGCTCGTCTGTGTTGTAAGGTGAGGAAAGATTGTCATAACTGCATTTGGAATTATTGATTCTGTAGCATACACTGCATAGAACGGTGTAACCCCTGTCAGCTGTTTGTAGATATTAATTAATGCTAACTGGGGAGTAAAAAAATGCATGTCCAAGTCTGCTGCCTGCAATCCATCTACTATATTGCTGTACTGAATTGAAATTATCTACTTGTAGTGGTTCTCCGCTAGTAAATTGCTGGCTGGATGGTTCATGGGTACAGTCATGTGTTGGAATCTGCCAAGTGCTGCCAACTCTTCGAGGAAACATACTACAAAAGGTTCAACCTGGAAGCAGGTCTTTGAGTTTGCAGTATTGCTTGTGTCAGCTGGTCAGCCAGTACATTCTTCTCCCCTTTTACATACTTAACTTCAGCATTAGCCTCTTTAAGTGATAATAACGTGCTATCCTACCATTTTTTCCCTGCTCCTTCTCAAAAAGCCATTGCAGAGCCTTGTCAGTCCACATGACACAACGCTTGTATATTAAAGATCAATATCTATTTATTGAAAAACACTGTGTCAATATCTAAGGTCATTGGTAGCGCATACAAAATATAGCAATAGGGCAAGGCTTAGGGGCGAAGACCCTAGGTAAGGAAAGCTCATACAGCTTTATCGCAAAGTATTGTGGAAAAAGGTCAAAATTCTAGCGCTGTAGGTTAGTATGGTAATGAAAAAGATAAAGATGGAATGACAGAGTACGAAGGCCGTTCAGGACAGGCACAAATGCAGCCTTTCAATCTTTCAGCACGGATGGGGACAGAAGGGGATGAAGAAATGGAAAAAGAAAGGTGAAGAAAAGACCATGCAAGGTCTGAGGTCCAAGGTAGTGGTGAACCCCTACCTTGGG